GGTTGCCAACAAGCTCCCAACAGGCCCCCAAGGGGCCCCAGGACGCCCCCGGGAAGGCCCTAGGAGACCCCCAAGAGGCCCCCAACTGGGCCCCGAGAGATTGCCAAAGAGACCCTATGATACGTCCATGAGGCTTGTGGCCCACAACCCAGGCACATTCCCCTGATCGGCCCCAGACCGCCGTCCAGGCGAGTCGGGTAGGCCCCGGATCGCCCCCAAGACGGTTTCGAGGAGTATCCAACGGCCCCGAGAGGCAAGCATGTACGTGTGCAATGATGTGTGCTTATATATGTGTGTCTGCAGAGTTCGGTGTGTTTTCCCTTCTTCTCCCTCAAAAATTATCCCGGCAAAGCAACCTAACAGCGATGTGTAGAAGCATATCTGAAAGCATTCCCCTTAAGATTCAGATGAAAATCCAGTTGTCGAATTCTGCTGTTCTCGCAGTCGTAGTCGCATTCGCGATGACAGTCGCAGTACGGCAGCGCAGTCACAGCCTCAGCCTCTCCTCCTCCTCCTCCTCTTTCTCCTGCTCCTGCTCCTCCTCTCCTCCTCCTCCTCCTCCTCTTCCTCCTGCTCGTCCTCGTTCTCGTCCTCCTCGTCTTGCTCGTCCTCCTCCTCCTGGTGCTCTCTCCTCCTCCTCCTCCTCCTCCTCCTCCTCCTCCTCCTCCTCCTGGTGGTCCTCGTTCTCCTCCTCCTGGTGCTCTCCCCCCCCCTCCTCCTCCTCGTCCTCCTCCTCCTCCTCCTCCTCCTCGTCCTCCTCCTCCTCCTCCTCCTCCTTCCTCCTCCTCCTCCTCCTCCTCCTCCTCCTCCTCCTCTTCCTGGTCGTCCTCGTTCTCGTCCTCCTCGTCTTGCTCGTCCTCCTCCTCCTGGTGTCCTCCTCCTCCTCCTCCTCCTCCTCCTCCTCCTCCTCCTCCTCCTCCTCCTCCTGGTGGTCCTCGTTCTCCTCCTCCTGGTACTCTCCCCCCCCCTCCTCCTCCTCCTCTCGTCCTCGTCCTCCTCCTTCTCCTCCTCCTCCCTCCTCCTCCTCCTCCTCCTCCTCCTCCTCCTCCTCCTGGTAGTCCTCCCCCTCCCCTCCTCCTCCTCCTCCTCCTCCTCCTCTTCCTGGTCGTCCTCGTTCTCGTCCTCCTCGTCTTGCTCGTCCTCCTCCTCGTGGTGTTCTCTCCTCCTCCTCCTCCTCCTCCTCCTCCTCCTCCTCCTCCTCCTGGTGGTCCTCGTTCTCCTCCTCCTGGTACTCTCCCCCCCCCTCCTCCTCCTCCTCCTCGTCCTCGTCCTCCTCCTCCTCCTCCTCTCTCCTCCTCCTCCTCCTCCTCCTCCTCCTCCTCCTCCTCCTCCTGGTACTCCTCCCCCTCCCCTCCTCCTCCTCCTCCTCCTCCTCCTCTTCCTGGTCGTCCTCCTCCTCCTGGTCGTCCTCCTCCTCCTGCTCGTCCTCCTCCTCCTCCTGCTCGTCCTTCTTCTCCTGCTCCTCCTGCTCCTCGTCCTGCTCCTGCTCGTCCTCGTCCTCCTGGTCTTGCTCGTCCTCCTCCTCGTCGTGCTCTTGCCCCTGCTGAAAATGTGGCCCAGGAATGGGAGTTCTGGGAAGTCGAAGAGCACGAAGTTGCCTACAGTTGGCTACGGGCATTCAAAATGTGGCCCGGGAATGGAGTTCTGGGAACTCGAAGAGCACGAAGTGGCCTACAGTTGGCTCCGGGCATTCAAAATGTGGCCCGGGAATGGAGTTCTGGGAACTCGAAGAGCACGAAGTGGCCTACAGTTGGCTCCGGGCATTCAAAATGTGGCCCGGGAATGGAGTTCTGGGAACTCGAAGAGCACGAAGTGGCCTACAGTTGGCTCCAAAATGTGGCCCGGGAATGGAATTCTGGGAACTCGAAGAGCACGAATGTGGCATCCGGGAATGTGGCCCGGGAATGGAGTTCTGGGAACTCGAAGAGCACGAAGTGTGTGACTGTTGCATCCGGCCCCCCAGAATGTGGCCCGGGAATGGCGTTCTGGGATGTCGAAGAGCACTTTGTGTGTGACTGTTGCATCCGGCCCCCAGAATGTGGCCTGGGAATGGAGTTCTGGGAAGGCGAAGAGCACGAAGTGTGTGACTGTTGGTGAAAAACGAGCCCGGCTCATGCCGCCCGGAAACGCCCCAACACCTGCCCGGACCCCCCTGTGGAGTGATCTGTGAGCTCTTTTGACACCACTAGAAACCTATCAGTCTTCGCTGTTAGGTAACATGAGTGCATACAAAAAAGCGAGAGACAACACTTAGCCGGGGGATGGGCCCAACCCTTATCATGCAGTTGCGTGTAGCGCAGGGCGCGGCCCTCTCTTCTTGCCCCAAAGAAGTCCATGATTGCCACTGCGGCTGCTCGAGGGGTGGTGGCGGGTGCTTCGGGCTCAGGGGAGGGATCTGACTAACGCGCTGGCATGGCCAGTCCACAGGCGCCTCCCTGCCTGTCCTTCTGCTGGCTCGGCCAGCCCCCGTGCGGTATCGCGCTGATCGCTGATGTAGTTGCCGTGACGCGCACCTCTGCTAGCTCGCTCGCTCCCCCAAAGAAGTCCCTGCGAGGTCCCCAAGTCGTCGTCATCATCTGTCGTCCGTCGTCCGTCGTCGTCGAGAACCGCCGAGCGCCACCGAAGGCTGGCGAAGCAGAGAAAGGAGAGGAGGACGAGGATGGAAGCAGTCGGATGAGGAGGCAAAAAGGAGGAGAGGGAGGAGGACGAGGAGGGGGAAGGAAGAGAACGTTCGGCAGGAGGGGTGTCGGTGTTGAAACCAGCGCCTCGCTCAAGACGTCCTCGCAATCTGATCTGAAAGAGAAGGAGTCTGGACAACCAAACAGGCAAAACGCTTGAGACATCCCAGAACTCTGGGCGCGAACGGGCCTGTGCAATACCCCCTGGCGGCCGCCCTTGGGGTGCTGAAAGCAGCGCCTCGCTCGATGCACTCTCGCACATTGACTACGAGAAGAACCTGAGTGTGAGTGGTCTGTGTGAGTGACTCTGAGTGTGGGTGAGTCTGGTGTGGGCCTGGTTGAGTGACTCTGAATGTGGACCTGGTTGACGGCGGGGCGGTGGCGGGGCGTCTTCGGGCGGGAAAAAGTGTCGGGCGGGGGGGCCCGAGCTCTGAACTCTCGTGGGGATGCCGGGGCGTCAGCTCGGGGGATTGGCGAGGGGGGGGAGTGCGGACCAGGTCGATGGCGGGGCGATGGCGGGGCGTTTTCGGACGAGAAAGTGTCGTGGGGTGGAGATGCCGGGGCGCGGTGGGGGCGCGGTGGGGGGCGTTGGTCGGTTTTGGCTGGGGAATTGTCGTGTGGGGGGTCCCAAGAACAGAGCTCGCGTGGGGCGGGGATGCCGGGGCGTGGTGGGAGCACGGCGTGGGTCGGTTTTGGCCAGGCATTTGCCGCGTGGGGGGTCCCGAGTGCAACCTTGCTATGAAGTATATTGCCTCCTCTCTCTCTCTCTCGTCCCTCTCCCCTCGCTCTGTCGCCCGTGCTCGTGCTGCTCTCGCCTCTCTCACCGATGCCGTCTCGGCCCCGTTTTAGGGCCCTCGCGAGCTTGCCGGCGCGAGACGCCCGCCGTGCGCACCCGACGATCCAGATTAGCATCGTGCCTGTGAATCGTCAGCATCTCCACTACAGTCGGGGGAGCGTAAGACCCGGGTTTGCCAGGACTCGGGTTCGCCATCGTTTTTTGACGACCGCGACTCGGATTTTGACGAGGAGGAGTTTTGTGGGATGTCTGCAGCGGGAGGCCTCGTCAAAATGCAGGCTCGGCCTCGTCATTTTTTTGATGACCTCGTCGGGGATTTCCGAGTCCCCCGTACCCGGGTCTTACGTCTCCCCGATACAGTTCAATAAACGAGTTTATTGGTCTCATCTAATCGAATTGGTAGCGTGCAGCGACTTTCTTTCGGACAGGGCCAGTGTCTGGACGAGGCTCACCCGCCTGCAGTCGAGGAGGCTTCCGCCCGTTTTTTTTGTTTTTCCTTTACGGCGCGATCATGTCTCGGTCGTCGCCATGCTCACTAACGTCGTCATCATCCTCGTCATCGGTTCGGTTGAGGCCCTGGCCATCACCAACATATCATCATCAGCAGCCTCGGCCTCGCCGTTGTCGTCGTCACCATGAGAACTCGCCCGCCCGAGTCTGTCAGGAGGGAGACACAATTTATCGTCGATCCCCGAGAAAATGTTAAGAGAAGCATGGGAAGTGTGTGGGGGGAAGACGGAACCCCAGAAAATATTGAAAAAGATGTGGGATCTTCGGATTTGTGTGTGTGTTTATTTGTGTGTGTGTGTGTCTTTGGGCCCCTTCAGTCACGGATCTGCATGCTGAGTGTCCAGACGGCCTTGCGCCAGCTGAGTTTGCCGATGATCTTGCCAATGGATGTTTGCCCGAGTGTTAGAAAACATGCAAGGCAGGACAAATCCGAAGCCATAACAAACAATACAAGACAAAAATCATGTCTTTGTTTCCAATGTGTTGTCGGTATGTGTTTTCCGTGTTGTTTGTTTGTGTGTGTTCGTTTGTTTTCGTTTTGAGTTGGCGGCTACAAGGCCATCAAACACATCGCACCCCATATAGTGCCCAGAGTCGTTGTTTGGGGTCCACGCGGGGGCATCAGTCGTCAACGTCAACTGGTGGTTGGTTGGGGGTTGAGCGATTCGGCCCCAACCAGGACATCGATTTCGATTCGTGTCGTGCGCGCGGTTGAGGCGACTCTGCGCGAGGGAAACGATGCGTCGGTAGAGGCTTGGGTCATGTTGAGCAAAACTTGTCGCCCTCCGTTGTCTCTCGCTGGGGCTCTGGATTGTCCCGTGGTCGCCCTGTGAGTTTCGTGTGGCTGTCCCGCGTGTTGCCCCGTGGCCGGCCCCGTGGGGCGTCCCGCGGTCGTCCTGCGGGTTGCCCCGTGGGTTATCCCGTGAATGGTCCCCTGGGCTGCCCCGTGGGCTGTGCCGTGGAGTGCTCCGTGGCTGCCCCGCGTGTTGTCCCGCGGCTGCCCCGGGGGGGAGCCGAAGGCCTCCTGGCTCAAGAGGCTCCGGCTCCTCTCGGGAAGTCCCCGGCGCGCGCGAGCGGCCAGCTCCAGCAGGGATGGGCGAGCTGTCCCAGGAGGTGGACGATCTCCTGTACGACCAGGGGAACTTCAACTTCCTCGACGAGTTCAACACCCAAGGCAGGGCCCATGTGCACTTCGATTCGATCGATCCGAGTCGATGTCGAGTGCGCCCTTCTCGATCCGATTCGATTCATGTCTCTTGGTGATCTGATGCGGCGGCATGCTCTCACAGCGTAGCCGCATACTCCGGGCGCAACTGGTCCGATTTGAACCGGCTCCAAACTGGTGCCGCCCGATTCGGTGCTGGTTTCGATCCGGCTCGACCTCCCGCTCCGATGCCGACTGATCTTGCTCGAGGTTCCCAGTTCGAGGGACTGAGCCAGAACACGAATGATCACTACGAGGGCACCCAGAGCACCTTGCACGGACGAAAGTCCGCGCCGTCTTCCCAGCTGGACGACCGCGGGGGCTTGTCGCAGGGGGAGCCTGTGGTCTCACTGCTGGACCAGACGACCGCGGAGCTCAAGTTTGACGACCTTGACGACATGGCCGAGGAGCTTCGAAGAATACAGTTGTATAAACATTAGTTTCTGGAGGCTTGCGCTGAGTTGTTTGATCTGCGCTGGCCCCCCCCCCCCCAGCGGCGCCTCCGGCGCCGCCTCTTTCGCGCTCCGCTCGCCAGGGAGGGAGGTCCCGCGCCGATCCGAGATATCCGTGCGGACCTTCGACCGTATGGCTTTATGCATTTTTAATGCACTTTTATTATACTAAAGGAGTTCGAGAACACCTTCGACCCGAAGAACCTGCCTGAGTACGCGTGCAGATACTGCGGGATCCACGACCCCGCCAGCGTCATGAAGTGCCGCGGCGACGGCAAGTGGTTCTGCAACAGCCGGCTGCCAGGTCTGCCCAGCAGCTGCATCATCCTCCACCTGGTCCGCGCGAAGCAGAAGGAGGTGCAGCTGCATCCAGAGAGCCCGCTGGGAGAGATCACGCTGGAGTGCTACAACTGCGGCCAGCGGAGCTGCTTCCTCCTGGGGTTCATCGCGGCGAAGAGCGACTCGGTGGTCGTCCTCCTGTGCCGCGTTTGCCTCTCGAACAACGCCCTGAAAGACTCGAACTGGGACCTGGGCCAGTGGCAGCCGCTCATAGAGGACCGCGCCTTCCTCCCGTGGCTTGTGAAGGTCCCAGACGCCAAGGACCAGATGCGTTCCTGGCACATCACGGCGGCACAGGTGAACAAGCTGGAGGAGATGTGGAAGACCAACCCCGACGCCACCCTCGAGGACATAGACGGCAAGGCCGGGCCAGGGCTGGAGGACGACCCGCAGCCCGTGATGCTGCGGTATGAGGATGCGTATCAGTATCAGCATGTCTTCGCGCCCTTGGTGAAGATGGAGGCCGACTACGACAGGAGGGTCAAGGAGTCGCACACACAGGAGAACATTGTTGTGCGATGGGACATCGGTCGGATAACAAAACTGCATATCAGTTGTTTTAACCCGCGCAGACGGAGCGCGGCGGCACGACAAGACAGACGAGCGACAGACGATCGACGAACGAAAGGGCGGGAGGGGGACGGAGTGGCGGGAGAAGGGGAAACAAGGCCCGGCGGGGCCCCCTGGAGGCCCAAAACTGCCCAAATCCCGCCGCTCGAACTTCTGTTGGAGCGTCGGAGCTCTGGGGAGGGCCAGTCGACCCAGATCAGTCGGACCCGTCGGGGGCGCTCACCGAGCCCCCGCTGCTGGCCATCGAGCTCTGGCCTCCAGCTCCGTAGCTCCGCCAGCTCCAGCGCCGCGCGAACGAGCGCCACACGGGGGGGCCCACGCAGTGCCTGCCCCGGCGGCGCCTGCCCAGCTGGAGCCCCTGGTGCCACGGCTGCCGGCGTCGGCGGCTCCCTCGCCGTGGGGGGACCAGCGGCGTGTCGGGCACGCCCTCCGCGCCAGCCCTCTGGAGGGGAAGCTGCGCGCAGTGCCGCCAGGCAGGGGCTGCCGCTGCTGCCGCCACGCCGCCGGGGCAAGCTGAGGCGCGCACCTCCTCCCCCGACTCGCTCTCCGGGCTCCCCCCGTAGGGCCCGGCGGCGGCCGGGCCTCCGGCGGAGGCCAATTGGCGGGCGCCTCCGCGGCGGCGTCCGCCACGGCCTGCGTGCTCGCTGCCGGCGGCTCTGGCGGGGTGGAATCTGATGGGCCTGGTTTCCACCACCACCACCACCACCACCACCACCACCACCACCACCACCACCACCACCACCACCACCACCACCATATGTTGGAGGGGGGAAGGAGGTGGAGGAGGAGGAGGAGGAGGAGGAGGAGGAGGAGGAGGAGGAGGCCCCTCCAACTTCTGGTGGTGGTGGTGGTGGAAAGCAGGCCCATCAGGATCGCGAGCGGCCCCTGGAGCTGCTTCGCGCTGGCTCGCGTCGCTCACGCCGCCCCCGCGTCCTTCGGGGCCGAGGCGCCGCACCGGGGCGCCGCCGCTCCGCTGGAGGGGCGCCCGCCCGCTCTGCGGGCGCCGATGGCGACGGCGCGGCTCC